TGAATCACTTGGTCTGTAGCTTTTTAACACCTCCTTTTGTCTGTCTAGGCAAACAAAGTAGGAAATAATTATTCAACAATACATTGAATATACATTGTAGGCTTGGGCAACAATCAGGATGTGCTTGCTATTTATATTGGAGATGACAGAACAGATGAAGATGCCTTTAAGGTATTCTTAAAATGATCTAAATTTCTTCCGGCCTGCCTTCCACATATCATCAATGTTGTCATTAAATGGATTTAATTGGAATCAACACCAGCTTAATTGCTTTTAGATTATTGATATTTCCAGAAATTTAACATGGTATCAAAGCAGTCAAATATGCTATGCTTGAAACTTGTCGCACACATACATGTTAGTTTTGTTTCGGTAAAAAACCTGTGCCCACCCATACGAGGGTGTGTGGAGTATATTAGTAATTAAATGGATCTGTGAGAATATGCCTAAATGCAAATGTGTTCTTGGTTAATGTAATTAAGGTACTGCGAGAGCGAGAGCGAGGTTACGGAATTCTGGTTTCCGCTGTTCCCAAGGAAAGCAAAGCTTTCTTTTCTCTCAAGGATACTTCACAGGTGGAATCTGAATCCGGTGGATATTCACATTTTCCAGGGTTTTTCGTATATACTGTTGTCGTGAATTAACCTGATGATAAAAAAATCTCAACGCAGGTGAAAGAATTTCTAGAGTCTCTTGTGAGAATGAAAGAAGGGAAAACAGCATTTTAAAGCATTGAGAGGAGCCCTCACTACTATATACTGTCATAAAGCTGTTGACATCACTTCTGGCATATAGATAGTCTTTTAATTTTCTTGCTCAGTGTTTTTAATCCTGAAAACATGTCTTTGTTCTTGTTTGATAGTTCATGCATGAAAAAACGTTGGAATACCAACATTCCAGGTGATGTTTTGCATATTATCTAAGAACGGAGGAATTGAGCTTTTCTTAACATTGAAACTTACTGGCCGAGTGGCCTTATTTGTTAGGGTGTGGAACCCGGGTTGGGTTAGGATCAAGGTGTAGCCTTCGTTCGTCAATGGCATATTTATTTTGAACAAATTCTTTGGATCCAATCAATAAGATTCTCAATTTTTAGATCCAGCCCTTATTCTCAATTGGGATTATCGTACGTTATAAATAGTCTTGGACTCGGGTCGGGGTCCGGCCCAGAACTGACCTGGGACTGATACTGTTTGGGCCCGGCCCGGCCTGGTGACTTGCTACAGTCCATTTCGGGTAGGCCCGGCCCAGCTGAATAGGGAAGGGCGGGCTCGGGTCAGCTGAATATGGAATCGGCCGGGCCGGGCCGGACCCGGTTCGGGCTTTATTATTATTTTTATTTTTTCAATTTTTTTTTAAAACCCGGGTTATGCTGGGTATTTTGGGCCATTTGGGGGTGGTTTGGGGGTGGGGGTGAGGGGGGCCGGGGGTTAATTAGAAAAAGGAAAATAAAAATAACTAAGTGGCCCGAGGCCCGGACCTGGCGGCAAACCGGGCCAGTCCCGGGCCTTCCCCCAAACACAAAAGGCCTGACCGGGCCTAGGCCCGGCCTGGTTATAAAATTTAAAAAAAATCGGAATAATTTTTTTAAATGTGATAGAAAAATGAATTATAAATGATAACAACAAGAGTTAAGTTTGAACGTACAGAATACAGATCTCCAGTTTAGTTGGGCATTGAGTTCTTGATATTTGATATTTATGTGATTCCTTCTTTTCAAATGAATGGTTAGATCTTCGGTTATAACGTCCTAGACAAAAAGAGGGGTTTTAGTTAAGGAAATTGACAAAAAGAGGTATCTCTTACTTTTTCATGAGGTCGATATGAATCGAGTTTTGAGAATGGTTTGTGGCTTTTTTAGCAAAATTTATTACTCATGCATGCGCTACAAGGTTGTGAATGGCCTTAGTCAAGTCCTCTTAGGGAGTGTTTGCAACTGCTTCTGCTTAAAAAAAAGCACTTTTGGAGAAGTAATGAAAAAGTGATTGGTAGTAAAAGTTGATAGTGTTTGAGAAAAAAGTGATTTTGAAAAGTAAAAGTTGGTAGTGTTTGGTAAAATAAGTGCTTTTTGTGTAATAGAAAAGGGAAAAGCACTTTTCACACGCAAGCCGAGAAAAAGTAAAAATTGGTAGTGTTTGGTAAATAAGTGTTTTTTAAAGCCAAAAGCTGAGAAGTGCTTTTTTTTAAGCAGTTGCAAACACTCCCTTAATAAGGTGAATTTCTGGAAAAGTGTTTAATTCGCTAGTGAGTTATTTTACTTTGAAAATTGCAAAAAAAATTGGAAATTCAATGGGTAAATTAATAAATGTTGAAGAATGACACCTTGAGGATATTTGGAGGTCATACATGCGGTTGAGGCTTGAGGGTTTGCTTGGATATAAATAAGCCTTTGCGCAGGAAATTAACATTTGGTAAGGATGAGAAAGAATGTTTTTGGGGTAGATCTTAGATATGAGAAGCTACCATATTTCTGCTTTGATGTGGCCTTATCGGCCATACATATCGGTTTTTGCCCATTGGAATACAGTAAGGGAGCTAGGGAATTAGTCAAACCTTATGGTCCATGGCTCCGAGCAGTGAGTGTAAGAGGTGCAGGAACGGAAGGAAACAAATGGTTGGTTTAGGCAAACAAGGTGGTAGGGGGCAGGTAGAAGGGAAGGATTTGTGCATTCATCAACATCGGGAGACTTGGTGGGGGATTTTCAGGTGGAAGATTCAGCAATGGTCTTGGTATAAGGGGAAGCTTCCAAGAGTTTAGGGGTGGAAATGGTTGCTAGTCGGGTCAGGGAGCCAAATAGGAGACGGGTGCTGGAGCTCCATGAGGAAGAAGGACAGGATGTGGGTGCAATGGTGGTTGAAGGAACAAAAAACATGGAGTAGGCGGGTCTAGGCTTCTAGACTCGCCCATAATCTGCTTATAAAGTTTTTTTTGTCATTGTAATTTATTGTGTTGGTAGGGGTTGTAGTTGGTTTTTCTGTAGGTTTGTTCTGCCCAAGGCGACTTGTTTTTGTTTTTCTTTGTGGTTTTGTGTCAGAGTCAGGAGATGATGAGTGACAAGGAATCTGGGTCGATCATAGTTGTCTTACAATTGTTCATGTGGGGATTAACGAATCAGACTACTTCTTTTGAGGTGAATGATTCTGAGACTGGTGCAAGGACGTATGATCGAACTATGTTTTCTAGTCTTGCTAGCTTGCCTATTTTCTCCGGACTGGATGTTACCTATGGTTTTACTAGTATTCTAATATAAGCTGATTTCTCTATATAAAAAAAACAATGCCGAGATAGGATTCCCCTCTTAGACCCCCCCCCCCCAGGTCAGTGCACATTTGATAGGAAGGATAGAGATCAGTATTGTGTAATCGTTGAGTCGGCTAGCCCTTGGCATAGCGTTGAATGAATAAAAATGGCACAAAAGGTGAGCCCGAATGTGTGGTTGTTAGAAGTTCCGGGCAACCCACTTCTCTGGAATTCCTGGGCCGCTGTAATTGAGTTGTAGTTTCGGTCACTCCCTATTTCTCCGATTTGGACACAGAAGGGTCGAAAGGACGTCCCAATTTAAGAATGCTGAACTCCCGATGGATAAGTTCATTGGTTTATGGTCACCCATTTGACTAGACTCTCAATCGTCGTCTTCGCATGTCTCTTTTCAACAACGTTGGCATAGAACTCCTTCACCAACTCCAGGTAGTAGGTCCCATGGAGGTGGAACACGGCCTCCAAAGAGATGCTAGTGAATCCTTCAAGTAGCCAATATTCTTGGTCAATTGCCTATGAGACCGTTTTCTCAATGATGGAATCATTGTCTCGAGACTTCTTGTACCACTCGTAGCACTCTGTGTTGACGAGACGGCTTACCGGAAAGATAGGAGAGGCGGGAGCGAGAGCCATCGTGTTCCTAGCTCATTTGGGTTGGCTCGAGCCGGGCCGGTATCCAAGGACTTACATTTTGATGTCATCCATCTTACAAACTTAAACAATTGAAGTCAATTTTCAAAATTTTGGCATGACTTCCCCTAAAAATTGACTGTAATCAACAATAAGCAATACAATCACAACCTCAATCAAAGAAGCCATAAAAAATCAAGTTAGAAATTACCAAAAATATTTAGAAACTTCAGATTCCCAACCTCCAATTCATACGGAGAATAATTTTGGCTTTCTTATTTTATATGCAAGTTAATTTTGATTAAGTGATATCGGAATGGGGTGGATGTGATACACAGTGGTTTTATCGTGCAAAAATTTGTATGATAGGGAGTACATCTTTATGTTATTTTTAGGAGAAAATAACTTTAATGTCCTAAACTTTAAATGAGTGTTACATAAGTACTTCAAATTTGCACATGTAGTATATATACCCCAAAATTTACATAAAAAGTTATGTTAGAATCATGATCATATATTTTCTCGCAAATGTAAATTTATGGTGTTAAGTATATAATAACTTGAAATGCACATAACATTTATAAAGATGCAATTAAAATTAAATTGTACCAAATGTTATATTATTTATTTTACAAATAAAATTTTAGAATGTTAATTGCATTCTAACAAAGCTTAGAGTATTTTAAATTATATAATTATTATAATAGATTTGTATTCGTAAACATACAATCATTGTGCGAAAATAATTTTTATATTAAGTTTAGAGTATATACATCATATATGCAAGTTTGAATTACTTACCCCACATCACATTAAAGTTTGTGGTATTTAAATTATGGGAAAACTATCAAATAAGCCCTCGTACTATAACGAAAAAGTCGATTAGACCCTCGTACTTTACAAACACTCAGTTAAGTCCTCAAACTATTAAAAAACATTCAATTTAGCCCTTTTGGTCTGTAAGTAACCAGTTTCTCGGTTAAATGTAACCGTTTCCCAATCTTTTGGGCCTTTGATGATGAAGCTCGGCTCGGTCGGACTGCACTTCTGCTCTGCTGTATATAACCAAAAATCTCAGAACATTCCAGACATAGTAGTCCTTACTAGAACCCTCTCGTCTCGCCGTTTCAAATGACTTACAAAAGCAGTCTTCCCCCCATCCATTCTTCAATACATAGACACAGAGAAATATGGCCGACGAAGCCAAGAGCAAAGGCAATGCGGCGTTCTCCGCCGGAAAGTTCGAGGAGGCCGTCAACCACTTCACCGAGGCGATCAACCTCGCACCCACCAATCACGTCCTCTTCTCCAACAGATCCGCTGCCTATGCCTCCCTGGGCAATTTCTCCGACGCCCTCTCTGACGCTCAGAAGACTGTCGAGCTCAAGCCAGACTGGTCAAAGGGGTACTCCCGGCTGGGAGCGGCTCACCTTGGCCTTCGTAACTACGAAGGGGCTATCGCTGCTTATAGGAAGGGTCTAGAATTCGATCCCAATAACGAGGCTTTGAAATCTGGCCTCGCCGATGCGCAGTCTTTTCAGGACCGTTCCAGTAGACCATCTTCTTCTCCCCTGGGGGATGCGTTTGCGGGACCAGACATGTGGGTTAAGTTGACCCGCGACCCTACTACACGGGCTTACTTGCAACAGCCAGATTTCGTAAAAATGATGCAGGATATCCAGAAAGACGCTAACAATCTTAATAAGTATTTGAAGGACCAGAGGGTAATGCAGGCACTTGGCATTCTGTTAGGTGTGAATTTGCAAACTAGGACGGCACAGGACTATCACGAGGTGCCTGAAGCCTCCTCCGAGCCTGTGAAGGTTAAACGTTCTGAAACTGAACCTGAACCAAAGACAGAACCCCAACCTATGGAGCTCTCTGCCGAGGAGAAAGAGTTAAAGGATAGGAAGTCTCGTGCATTAGAAGAGAAAGAGGCTGGTAATGCATTCTATAAGAAGAAGGATTTTGAGACGGCTATTCATCACTATTCAAAAGCTATTGAGCTTGACGATGAAGATATTTCGTTCCTTACTAATAGGGCTGCTGTGTACTTGGAAATGGGGAAGGTATGTTTCATCTCATTTTTTGTTTGCCAAATACTGCTTTTATTGTAAATGTGAATCTATGTAGTATCAGGTTACCGTTTAGGTTGTGAAGGAGTGAGCCTCACATGATTTAATTTGAAATACTAACTTAATTTTCATAGATTATCAGTATGAGGAATGCATCAAAGATTGTGATCAAGCTGTTGAGAGGGGGCGAGAACTTAGATCCGATTTCAAGATGATAGCAAAGGCTTTGACAAGGAAGGGCACAGCCTTGGTGAAGATGGCAAAATGCTCAAAGGACTATAAACCTGCTATTGAGACTTTCCAGAAAGCTCTTACAGAACATCGCAATCCTGACACACTAAAAAAACTTAATGATGCAGAAAAGGCAAAGAAAGAATTAGAGCAACAAGAGTCCTTTGATCCAGAGATAGCTGATGAAGAGCGTGAGAAAGGTAAATTACATCATCTATGAACGGTTTCTTTTTAATGGTTATGTATGTTGTACTGTAGGTAAAGTATGGAAGGTAAAGTACATCATCTATAAATTACATTCATACTAATGCAATGTTGAACTGTAGGTAACCAGTTTTTCAAAGAGCAAAAGTATCCGGAGGCAATCAAGCACTATACAGAATCTATAAGAAGGAATCCCAAAGATCCAAGAGTAATGCCTTGCTTATTTTGTTTTTATATTTTGCATTGTAATTCAATCAGTTACTCTGTCCCAATGTATAAGCGAATTTCAATTCCCCCATTCTGTTTTAGTAGTTTTTTGTTCTCAAGTAATTTTTGCGTTGATTATCAAGAAAGACTATCAGATCATGTCTACCATTACACCTCTGCGCCCATAAATCACTCTACTAACATTGTACTACATTACTTGATTTTCGAAAAAAATATATTCATTTGATAAATCTGTGAATGTGTGCAGACCATTTAAACAACACTTTAGGAGATGGGAAGACTTGTAGAGTTCAAAAACTGAAGATTGACATCATTGTTATACAAACCTTAAAGGAGGGAGCGAAATTTCTTACGTGATGTTCTTGCTCTCTTTGACTCTTTTTAGGCATATAGCAATAGCAATAGGGCTGCTAGCTACACCAAACTTGGGGCATTGCCTGAGGGGCTCAAAGATGCTGAGAAATGCATTGAGCTTGATCCTACATTTGCAAAGGGTTACACTAGAAAGGGTGCAATTCAGTTCTTCATGAAAGAATATGAAAAAGCTCTGGAGACCTATCAGCAAGGGTTGAAGCTAGATCCTAATAACCAGGAATTACTAGACGGTGTGAGGAGGTAAAGTGGAAATATTGAATCATTTTGAATACATTTTTGGTGTCTAGAGAAGGAAAAGAAAATGCGGAGGAAAGTTAATTTGTTATGTTTAACTTGGAAAATGTAAAGAAAATCAAGTGATTGATTTCTTTAAAAAAGAAATGGTATATTTTATTCATAGTATTTTAATTAATATATAAATAAATACAACTATATATAGCCTAAACAAATAATCAAAACTAAAGTTCTTTAGTTTTTTCTCCATCCATCATTTTCCCAGTTATTTTATTTCCCTAGTATTTTATGGGTTCTAAGGGGGACCGGAAAAAAATGTAATAGTTGAGAGTTGGTGTTAAATTACAGCTGTGCTGCACAAATAAACAAAGCAACTCGTGGTGATCTCAGCCCAGAGGAGCTCAAGGAGAGACAGGTTAAGTTTTGCTATCCTTTTTGGAGCTTAATATTACTCTCTTTGCGGGAGAAAATGTGAAAATGGTGGTGTAAGTTAACAGTTATCAAAACTCAATGCAGGCCAAGGCAATGCAAGACCCAGAAATCCAGAACATTTTAAGTGATCCTGTAATGAGACAGGTATGGACGTATGGGTGTGACCTTTCATGCAGATCATGGTATTAGGTTGAAGAGTTTGGATATTTTACTTGAACTGGGTTTATGTCACATATCAAAACAAACTTCACTTAAACATATCAAATCAGACTTCGGCAATTATAATATATATATGTCTGGAATTCCGAACAAGAACCTCTGTCCGGACGGCGGCATTTGGCCGCCTTCCCGGTGGATTTTTTTGATGAAATTTTTATGGCATGTTCTTCATTAAGTTTAGTTTATCTACAAAAAATTTCAGCTAAAAATTCAATCGGGAAGACCATCAAATGATTTTTGGAAGATAACTGTGTTTTATATGCATATTGGGCGCGGTTATCTTCTAAAAATCATTTGACGACCTTCCCGATTGAGTTTTAGCTGAATTTTTTTGTGGATAAACTAGACTTGATGAAGAACATGTCATAAAAATTTTATTAAAAAATACCTCCGGGAAGGCCCCCAAAAGCCGCCGTCCGGACGGCGGGGGAAGAGTACTTTGTATATCTATAGAGATCATACATCTACTAAACCTGTCCGCGATTTCCGGTTAAACCGAAACAAGAAAGACCAGTTTTTGAATTGGAATCACGTATGCACGTAAATTTTTCTATATTTATGAAACATGGGGGAAACCGGAAACTGAAACCTGTCCGCGGTTTCTGGTTTCCTCTGGGTTCCTTCATGTTCCGTTTCCAATGTTTCCCGTTTCTTGTTTCCCATTTCCCGTTTCTGTACTACTTGGTGTAGTACTTCTGGTATAGAATTAGAGGTTTACTAGCTTTGTTCGGTTCTTACAAAAATTGGAATAGAAATTGGTTGTTTTGATTCACAAACAGACGGTTTCAATTTGGAACCTCTTTTTTAATTAATTAATTACTTAATAATCATTGTTCTAAAAATCAGCCTAGGCGGACCGATTAATCGGCCTAGTCGGCCCTAATTGTAAAGAACTGATCAGCCTAGTTGGCCAAAAAATCGGCCTAATCAGCTGCCTAGGCATTAGTTGCCCCTCAAACGCCCAACTAGCGCCTAACGAGTTTTAGAACAATGATAATACTGTAAACAATATACTACTACTAATAATAATAATCATAATAGTACTAGTTGTAATTCTAATAAATATAGGAATTATAATTGTTACTAGTTCCAACTCATTAGTTATTAGTTAAAATTATTGGTAATAAAATTACATAATTAATTAATTATTTTAAAATATTACTTGTAGATTTTTAAAGCGTAATTTATAACTACTCTACTATTAACTATCTTATTATTTTATTTAGTTATAACAATGATAGATATTAGTGGTTGTAGTACTTTTTAGAGAACCCTTTATTAATTTATTTAAAAAAAATCAACTAAAACTTAGATATCTAAAAAATTGGAATTGGAAAACTGAATGGGTATCGCTTAATCGCTGGTACTGGTTCCGGTTCTGAATTGGGGTCAATTAAAGGCATTCTTAAACTTACTCAATATCATCTAGATCGGACCTAAACATAGGGATGGACTCGGGCCGGGCCAACCGGCCCGGAACCGGACCGGCCCACTACTGTGCGGGCCCGGACCGGCCCGGTGAACCGGTTAGTGCCCGGTTTGGGCCACCCGGCCCGGTGGGCTTCGGTTCCGGGCTCGGGCCCTCGATTTGGTGAACCGGCCCGGCCAGTTCGGGCACGGTCCGGGCCGAATTTTTTTTTTTTCTGAATTTTTTAAGTTTTTGGGTTGGGCTGGGTATTTTGGGTCTTTTGAGGTGGTTTGGGGGTGAGGAGGGTGGGTTGGGGGTTAAATAGGAGAAGCCAAAAAAAAAATACAAACCGGGTGGCCCGACCCGGAATCGGTGGCTACCGGTTCGGGCTCGGGCCCAACAAAACAGAACCGCGAACCAGCCGGGCCCAGGCCCGAACCGGAACCGGTCCACCCCTACCTAAACACACCGTACCAGATTTGAAATTTAAGTTCGATTAAAAACATCTTTAAATTCACTTGATTATATCTATTAGACTAATAATAATATCATCATTATTGTGGCCCGTGGCTTTCTTTAAAAAAACAAACTTGTATGGAGTTTAAATTCTAGGTCTAGCTTTAACAGTTGAAGACGGAATTGAGTAGTGGATCAGTGGATGGGGATCTAAATTGGGTTGGTAATAAATAACTCTTCGGAATAAATTGCGCTTGTTTGCTCAAATATAAATTTATTCGTATGTATGGGACAGGTTCTTGTGGACATGCAAGAGAACCCTAAAGTTGCTCAAGAACACATGAAGAACCCACTTGTGATGAACAAGATCCAAAAGTTGGTCAGTGCAGGAATTGTTCAAGTCCGATAGAGAGCAGAACTCATTTAATATATAGGGTCAAAAGAAAGCATAGCCATTGTATTTTGAAGGGGATGGTTTGGACTTTGGATATTATATTATTATGTGAAGGCTCCATTTTCCTTTTGTATTGAATGGATTTGAAGAATAATTATTAGTGCCTTTAGTCCATAGGGTAATAAATACTGAATCGGCATCTATATAACTTACTTACTTACTGAAACATTAATGTTGGTATTGAAAGCACCAAGATGAGAGTAAATAGTGATGATGGGTTGCAAGATTTTATTGTTAATTAAAACTACATATTAGGTACACTACATTAAAAATGTTTTTTTCACTTTTCGGGAATCTTTGGTACTTTACTTTTACTCCAATCAGACTTGTGTGTTAGGCACAATTATTTCACTCTTAATTTAGATTACTTTCACTCTTTATTTGTGTAATGTGTAATTCTCCCTTTTTATAATTCGTGTAGGAATTTGGGATTACTTTCACTCTTATTTGTGTAATGTGTAATTCTCCCTTTTTATGGTACACCCCTCGAGTGTTTAGTTTCAAAAGAGTAATTATGAACAATTGTAAAATTTGAGGGCACAATTAGAAAAGTTGATTGGGATCTTTAAAAAAAAGTATAAAAAAGAAGTGGATGACATTTAATCTTAAGCAGGAACAGGTTGGGGGTTAGAGGAGGCAAGCTGGTTTTGAATGTGTTGGGGGACAAGATCAAACTTGTGAAGCTGCATGGTGTAGGACGCTCTCCCTTTGGTCATCCCTCTCAAGCTGCTCACATATTGGAACATCTCTGCCAACGGAACCAGCGCGTCCACTACCTGCCCATACCCACACCACACCCATTGTTCAAAACTATGATTAAAGAAAAAGAGGGTGAAGGGAAGAATGAAAAGGAGGGAGCATCACTCATTCCACTATTCATACATACCTTGAGGCCACCTGGTTTTTCACCAAAGTTGTTGATCTGACCTCTCCTTGAGTTTAGGTCACCTATGACGTCACCTAGATGCTCCTCCGGTGTCACCACCTCAACCCTCATTATGGGTTCCAGCAATTTCGGTCCCGCTTTCCTCATCCCTTCCCTGAATGCCCCCCTAGCCGCCAACTGAAATGCCAGCACACTCGAGTCTACATCATGGTACGACCCATCAACCAAAACTGCCCGAACATCCACCACAGGGTACCCAGCCAGTACCCCCGTTTCCCAAACACTCTTCTAGACCCTTCATCACGCCTGGGATGTACTCTCTTGGCACGGCCCCACCTTTTATTTCGTTCTTGAATTCGTATCCACCCCCAGCGTCCATAGGTTCGAACCTCACTGTTATGTCCGCAAACTGCCCTTGTCCCCCCGACTGCTTCTTGTGAACGTATTTCACTTGTGACACCTTGGAAATACTCTCACGATAGTTCACTTGTGGGGCCCCAACGTTGGCTTCCACCTATAGACATACATTGGTTTTGGAAGGACAGTGTAATTTTAATAAAAGTGTTACTGTAGTTCCATGAGATTTCATTAAAAAAATTAAAAATATTCCATTTTGTCAGAAATGCACAATATAAGATTCATGAGGGAACAAAGGATAACAAATAGAATATGTGAACTCAAGGCCCTCTTGGTTGGAAGTATATCTAGCTAAAAGGCTTCTGTCTCAAATCAAAAGTATTTGGTAACATCTAATTTTGCCAAACAAGTAACCAAGTCAAATGAGTTACTTATTCTTCTTATAGCTGCCCAACGGAGCCTTACCTCAAGTAAATATGCTAGAAGAAACTTCTGGTTACATATGGTGAATATCTTATGACCCTTAATGAAATGGGGTCGTCGTAAGCTTCAATCCATAAAATGTGAGATATCTTAGGGTCTGTTTGGAAAGATGGCTTTGAAAGAGATATATTTTGGATGGTTTAATCTATATCATGTCTTGATATAAATGGAATGTTTTTTTAATCAATAAGGGTAATTGATATGCTATGTGATCATCTATCATGTTATTCCTTTCACTTTTTTTTAAAAAAAAAAATTCTCAAATATTTATATCATGTTATAGACAAATCATTCCCGAACCCTCCCCTCTGAAACCATCCAAACAGATCCTCACTTGCCCCCTATAACCATAGGTAACTGCACATATGTTTTCTTCATGTCCTACATAACTTGGGACATATAACTAGAGGTAAGAAAGGAAGAAAAAAGAAGCAAACCTTAAATTCCCGCTTGAGTCGATCAACAATAATCTCGAGATGCAATTCTCCCATTCCTTCAATTACTGTCTGATTAATCTCCTCATCACGAGAAAAATGAAAAGAAGGGTCTTCCTGAGCGAGCTTAACCAAACCAGCTGCCATCTTATCAATATCAGCTTTCGTCTTGGGTTCAATAGCAACTTTGATAACTGGATCGGGAAAATCCATCCGTTCAAGAACCACTGGATTATCAGGGTCACACAACGTTTCTCCGGTGACAGTGTCTTTAAGTCCAGCTAGGGCAATTATGTCACCAGTTAATGCGGATTTGACGTCCTCTCTGCTGTTTGCATGCATCTCCAGAAGTCTCCCAATCCTCTCTCTCTTTCCTTTGTTTGCATTCAGTACGTAAGATCCTGCAACGAGTTTTCCTGAGTACACTCTCACGAAGGTGAGCGACCCCACATAAGGATCGCTCATGATCTTGAAAGCCAGACCAGTGAATGGCTCATTGTCGCTGGCTGGTTTTTCAATTGTTATTTCTAGGTTTTCAGGGTCGCTGCCTTTCATCGGGGGCAAGTCAATGGGAGAAGGTAAATAGTCAACGACAGCGTCCAAAAGCGGTTGAACCCCTTTATTCTTGAAAGCGGATCCACATAAGACCGGAACAAAACTGCCAGAGATGGTTCCCTTCCTTATCAACTTTTTAATGGTTTCCTCATCAGGTTCTGTCCCTTCTAGATACTTCTCCATTACGTCGTCGTCCAACTCAACTATGGTCTCGATAATGTTGGCTCGGAATTCCTGAGCTCGGTCTTGAAGCTCAGAAGGAATGTCCTTATACACAAACTTGGCGCCCAATTCTTCCCCTGACCAAACTACTCCTTTCATCTTCACAAGATCAACAACTCCTACAAAGTTATCCTCAGAACCAATCGGGATTTGAATCACGAGCGGTTTAGCACCCAAGTTGGTGATGATCATATCTCGGGTCCGGTAGAAATTTGCCCCGAGGCGGTCCATCTTGTTGACAAAACATATCCGCGGGACCCTGTATTTGTCGGCTTGTCTCCAGACGGTCTCTGACTGAGGTTCCACTCCAGCAACACTATCAAACAGGCATATAGCCCCGTCAAGAACTCTTAGGGCTCTTTCAACCTCGAGGGTAAAGTCAACATGGCCTGGGGTGTCGATGATGTTGATCCGGTGCTGGTCCCAGTATGTTGTGGTTGCGGCAGAGGTGATGGTGATGCCGCGTTCCTGCTCCTGTTCCATCCAGTCCATTGTGGCCGTCCCCTCATGGACTTCACCGATTTTGTAGTTTCTGCCAGTGTAGTACAGGATCCGCTCGGTTGTCGTTGTCTTCCCCGCATCAATATGAGCCATGATTCCTATGTTGCGGTAGTCCTTTAATGGGACTGTTCTCTTTCCATCTGCAATGGCGGTATTATGAATTGTACTCTTTATTCTGAAATCTGAAGGCAAGGGGTGGCATACTATGCCACAAACATACACTTGTTCCATTTTTGGTCCGGCTATATTTGGGGCATTTAATTAATACTTTCAGTTTAATTATTATCTATATCAAGATTTACAAGGTATAATCGATTCACTAAACTTTGGAATAAGGTATAAGGGAGGATTTTCTGTTTTCAGGATTGCAACGTGTGAAGTATGATTACCGGTACAATGGAAAGGGCACAAAAGGAGATATAAAGATTCAATCTTTGCCAAAAAATACCTAAATAAAGTATAAAGTGAAATGGTTATTGGACATACCATCGGCTGCCATGGCAAAGACGGAGAAACTGTTCTTATGGCTTCGTTTCTGGTATAACGCCGGTGACTTCGAAGCAGGGGCAGACCTAATTTCAATGTTTCCGAAAAATTCCGAGAATGGAGTAGAGGAGAGCAACTGAACCGTGTTGCCGCGGCGTCGCCGATGGCCGGAGACCACGCCATGGGAGATTGGTGTCGCCTTCCTTGAGCCATTGAAGTTGAAGAGTGAAGGGGCAGTAGAAGCCACTGTCAACCTTATCACTGACTCACCGGCCATCTCTCTCTTATCAAGTCTAATGAAAATTGATACGAAGGGGGAGGACTGTGTTCAAGAGAATGAACTAATGAAGATGATGAGTGATGTGGGGATTTGGGAGCCTCATTTTTTGTTGTGCAATCAGATTCTTGAAACTACGTTTTTACCCCGAAACAAACGAAGAAGCCTCTGAATGTTTCTGATCTGAATTTTTTAAGTTCTGATCTGAATTTTTCTGATCTGGTCTGATCTGATCTGAATGTTTCTGATCTGATCTGAATCTTTCTGATCTGATCTGGTTTGAATAATTATAATTATAATTATAATTATAATTATTATAATTATTATAATTGTAATTACAAATATAATTTAAATAAAATTATAATTATAATTATAATTATTAATAATTATAATTATTAATAATATTAACAATAATAATAATAATTAAAATAATAATAATAATAATAATAATTAAAATTAAATTTAAAATGGAAAAAGTTATACCTATTACAAGAATTATAACTATAGATACAATTGTAATTTTAATTATATTTTTAATTATAATTACTTATTTAATTATAATTTTAATTATAAGTACAATATTTATCTCTATAATTGTAACTATAGTTATCAATATTATTATAATTACTCCGTAAAATAATTACAATAGTAATAATAACAATAATATTATTAATAATTATAATAAAATAATAATTATAATTATATTAACAGTAATTATAATATTATAATATAATAATAGTAATATAAATACAATTAATATTATTATAAAGATATTATTATATTAATATTATAATGACAATAATATAATAATATGATTATTATTATTATAAGTATTATATTATTATAATATTATATTATAATTATATTTATAATCA